TTGCAAACTCTTAAAAATGTGGAAATAGGACAGAAAATTCCGTCGCAAGAAAGGAAAACATCCATTGCTAAAGTGAATAGCGATGGCATCTGTCCATCTCTAAAAGTGGCGTAGCTAAAGTGTTGCGACAAATTCTAATTCCGTCGCTAAATTTAGCGATGAATTTTTATCACTAAACTTAAAAAATTCGTCGCTATTTTCCTCCTTGCGACGATTTGAATGATGAAATTTTGCAAGGGACTAGCAACGGAAAATTCCGTTGCTAGTTTTCTTCTGTTGTATGCAATGGATGCCATTCACCTACAGTTTAGAAATAAAAATATCTGTCGCTAAATTTAGCTACGAATCTGGTACGATTTTTGTCGGTCACTAAATTTTTTAAAAAAATCTGCCCACTAATTAATATTCGGCAAATCATATCGTGCACCATTGTGCGCCCTGGCCCAAAATGACGGCCATTTGTATCTGTTTTTTTTTTTTTTTTTTTTTTTTTTAGAACTTTCGTTTCCTGTTTGTGATCTCACTCAGATTTGTATCTAAAAAAAATCAATGTTTCTTATGTACATAATTGAATAGTAGAATACACATAAAGTCCTAACATAATACACATAATCTAACATTTAGCATAAAACACATAAACTCTTAACATAATACACATAAACTCTTAACATAATACACAAAAACTCTTAACGTAATACACATAAACTCTTAACATAATACACATAAATTCTTAACAGAATACACATAAACACAAGTGTTTAAAAAAAAAAAAAAAACTATAATGGATGGAATGGTGTCCATCACATCAACTCCCCACCAACTTATAAAAACAACGTCGTTTTGAGTCAAGGCGCACAATGCATGTGTGCCCTATTGCACGATATAACAATCCTTAATATCCCATACCTTTATTAAACCTATAATATAATTCTTCAATAATATAATTGCAAAATGTATTAGATTAAGAAATTCAAACTCAATAACAATAATAACAAAAGTACGTATAGCATTGTAAAAGTTTGAATATCAAGTGGAAAAATGAAAGTGGTCATTATATCTTGAAATTACAACAAAATATAAGTTATGATTGCTTTATAGTATTGCAGTTTGGCAGTAATTGATATTTACAGATCTGTGAAATGCATATTGATACAGAGACTCAAACCCACTACATTTGCAACCAAATTTGCATGGGTAAACACAACTCCCTACAATATTGCAGAAAAAAGACAGAATTTGTTGGTATGTTTAGGCAATCAATTACGATATAAGACTAAGTAATATGTTATACCTTCGGTGTTCCAGTAGTACTACTTGTGTAGCATATAGTAGCAACATCATTAGGGTTCAGGGAGTCATCGATAGCTGCCCTGGAGTTCTCAAAAAGCCATTTAAGGGTTAAGCTTGGCCTTTAATTTGGTGCCCAAACAACTTCTTAAGTTCAAAGAGAGAAAATTTCAATTTTGGTCACATGACTGTATGGGCATTGTTAATTTCAGCATCTGACTTTTAAAAGTGTCGATTTATTACCTTGACTATGTAATTTTTATCAATTTTGATCAATCTGGCCAAATTGACAGTCAAATTTGACCGGAAAAATTTAATCAAACATTTAGTCTATAATCTGAGGGGCAAAATCGTCTTTTGATCCTTTCTAGACTAAATGTTGATTAAATTTTTCTGGCCAAATTTGACCGTCAATTTGGCAGGAGTGACCAAAATTGACAAAAATTACATAGTCAAGGTACTAAATTGACACTTTTAAAAGTCAGGTGTTGAAATTAACAATGTCCCTATAGTCATGTGACCAAAATTGAAATTTTCTCAGTTCAAAGAATTTCTTATATACTCAATAGGGAGTCAGATTTTCCGACCACAATCTCTTCCACTTGAATGTCTGCCTTTTGGATTTTGTGCGGGCATATTGGTTACTCTTTTTTACTCATTTTTTTATTGTTATTATTTCTCATTACAGACTCAAGTTCACGAGAGATGTTTCTTTTATATAATTTGTTAGAGTAAAAGACATTTTTGATCCTAGACCTATAGTGACACAGACAATTTTAGTCCTCCATACAAATTTTTGTCATTTTATGGACAGATTTATTGTGGCGGTGATATTTTTGGTCCTCGGTCTATATATCCGTTAAATGACTGTGTAAGTGAGGAGTAATTGGGTCATTTCATGTTATCTCCTCTATATTTCATCCATGCCTATTTTGTTCCGAATCTGACTAGATTTAGCGGCATGAGCTCGACGACCACGACCAATTGCTAACCCACCGTGCTGCCCCATAATGCTATCAATACCACCGTCCTCAATCTCCCCATCCAAAGTTGAACCTGCGTCAAAACCGTGGATTTCTCAGCAGGTGAGCAGTTTGCAATGAAACTACCATCCACATTGAGACACGTAGTACCTTCCTCCGATTTCTTCCATTTCAGGATTCTGTTACCACTGGAACCTTGTCTCATAGCACGAGCCTGATTAAAAGCTCTGTCAACCTCTGTACTTAAGTCAGTAATTCGACTCAGCTTGTGGCCATCCACGAGTTCCACATTGATGAAGACCAAGTCATTGCGCCACCTCCAGATCCACCAGCAGGCTACGCTAAAAACCACCGGCCATCTATCACCATACGCTGTTCTGTAGCCATAACCTTCACATTCATAACACTAGATTATATTTCTTTGCTTGAACTCTTACCATTACTCAATGAAGAATTTTTAGAGTGTCTAGTGCGAGACGAGTGACTTTGTCTGCGACGTTTGAATCCCTTCAGAAACTTCTTGAAATAGTCAGTCAGCAAGGCTCGAGATTTATCATCTAAGTCCACAGCGTCAGAATCTTGATCAACATCTGTGATGAATGCCACAGATTTGCTGGCTTGGATTCCAGGAATCCATTATCTTCTAAGATCTCAAGAGTATATTTTCTCTAACAAATGTTAAGCCCCTTGGAATTTGTGAAAGACTCAATGCCAAGAAAAAAGTTCAATTGGCCAAGATCTTTGATCTTGAAAGATCTGTCCAGAAACTGCTTCAATTGATTAATCTGGACTGGATTGTTGCCTGCAACTAAAATGTCATCAACATATACCAATAATGCAATAACGGAATCATTAAGACACTTTGTAAACAGTGATGGATCTGCAGATGATTGTTGGAAACCATTGCTTAGCAAAGCTCCAGTTAGCTTGGCATTCCACTGCCTACTAGCTTGCTTCAAACCATACAGGGATCTCACCAATCTGCACACTTGATTAGGATTATCACTTTGAAAACCTGGAGGTAAAACCATATATACTTCTTCTTGCAAATCACCATATAAGAAAGCATTATTAATGTCAAGTTGTTGAATGTCCCAACCTTTAGCAACAACAACAGCAAGAAAGGTTTTAATTGTTGTCATCCTAGCCACAGGAGAAAAAGTCTCAATGTAATCAACTCCAAGCTGTTGAGTATATCCTTTGGCAACCAACCTAGCTTTGTATCTTTCAATGGAACCATCTGCCTTGTATTTGACCTTGTACACCCATCTACATCCAATTGGGGTTTTTCCAGGTGGCAAATCTGTTAAAATCCAAGTGTCATTCTGGATCAGTGCCTGTATCTCATTCTGCATTACATTTCTCCATTGCTCATGTTTCACTGCCTCATTATAAGTTTGGGGCTCATGTACTTCAATGATAGAAGAGGCACAGATCCTCAGACTGAAGGCAAATTGTCATAGGAAATAAACTTGCTCAATGGATGAGGTGAAGTTCTAATAGCAGACTGACAATGGTAATCCTAGAATCTGGAAGGGATGGTTTTTATCCTAGCTAACCTTCTTGGCTGTGGAGGATCAATGTCATCAGAAGGTGGAGGCTCGATCTGTTCCGTATTCTGTTCTGGTGAATCAGAACCAAGCTGTGGGAGTTCTATATGAATATCCGGTGACAAGTCATGAGGAATTTGTGGAGGTGCATCATAGGCTGTGTCACCAGGACTAGTATTAACATCATGAATTCCTCTACTTGGGGAAGTGTCTGTAGGAATGACTTGTGTTTAATCCAAGGCAGTGGCATCAAATTCAACTGAGATGGGAATAAGAAGTAGAGTGGGATTGAATAATTCTGATGTAGTATTCTATAGATTGCCTTGTTTAAAGGGATAGGTCCGCTCATAGAACCTAACATCCCTAGAGATAAAGGTAACTTTGTTAGCAATATCATACAGTAAATAGCCTTTTACATTGGCAGCAAATCCCACAAAAACACATTTCTTAGCTCTTGATTCCATTTTTTTCTGCCTTATGCAATTGTGGCAGCAAAGCATAAACAACCAAAAGGTCTGAGCTGACCATAGTCTATGTCTGTGCCAAATAAAACTTGGCAAGGAGTGGATCCATATAGAACATTAGTAGGTAGCCTGTTGATCAAGTAAGAAGAGTGTAGAACACAATGACCCCAGAATTTGTCAGGCAGTCCAGATTGAAATTTTAAAGCCCTTGCCATGTTCAAAATATGCTGATGTTTCCTCTCTGCCACCCCATTCTGTTGGGGTGTGTATGCATAAGATTTCTGATGTAGAATTCCCTTCTCACCAAAAAATTCATTCATCATAAATTCACCACCATTATGTGTTCTAACAACCTTGATATTGGCTAGGAACTGAGTGCAAACCATATTATAAAAATTCTGGAAAATAGGCTTCACTTCTGATTTGTGCCTCATTAGATATAACCAGGTAAACCTGCTATGATCATCTACCATAGTCAAGAAGTAATGTTCCCCTTTGAGGGATGCAACAGTAAAGGGGCCCCAAACATCCATATGCAATAAATCAAAACATGCCTTAACTCTATTAACACTAACAGGAAATGTGGATTTCTTGTGTCTTGCAAAGTGACAAACGTCACAAACAAAATTAGGACATTTCATAGAAGAGGCAAGTTTTATTCCTTTCAACAATTGTATCTTATTTACAGGAAAATGGCCTAATCTGTCATGCCACAGCTATAAAGAGAAATTGTTACATGATCTAGAAACTTCATCTGAAGTACCAGTCTTCTTCTTGACAGGGGGGTTGTTTATCAGATATAGCCCATTTCTTTTTTTAGCAAAACCATCCACTATCCCAAGAGGTCCCTGAAGTTTACAAGAGTCAGCTTTCATAATGATTTCATAACCTGACTGCCTTATCAATTTTGTTGCAGATATAATGTTGAAATTGAAGGATGGTATGTACAAAACATTTTGCAACAATATGTTCATGTCTAGCCTGACTTGTCCTATGTGTGAGACACTCATCATTTCTCCATTAGGCAACTTAACAGAAACTTCATGAATGACATGGCATGTCTCAAAAAATCCAAAGAACATGTAATGTGATCTATGACACCAGAATCAAGAATCCATACACTTGATGAAAATAAGGCATTGTTAATATGGAGATTAGAGATGAACCTGCCTTCAGTAGAGTTTTTGAAATATGGCTTAAGAACATTTTTACTGACGGTCACAGCTGCACTAATTGATGCTTGATTCCACTGGTTCTGATTCTGTAATAGAGACAGCAATTTCTGAAATTGTTCAGATGTGAGACCTACATCACCAACCTGATTCACATGGGAATTAGGAGCTTGTTGTGAGTCCTGAGTTTGTCTAGTTTTAGACTTATATCCTGGGATCCAGCCAGGGGGAAAACCATTTTCTTGTAGCATTTGTCAATGGTGTGACCAAGTCTCCCACAGAAAGTACACTTAGGCATACTCTTTCCTGATCCATTCCCATTTCCACTGCCAATATTGTATTTTTTCTTACTGTTTAGGGCTGAGACTACCACTAGAGGCTGTTCTTCTTCATACTGATCTTGATTGTTTTGCAGAACATTTGCTTGAACTGTATCATTGTTCCTTTGATTGAAAGAGTTTTTAATTTTCCTTTCCATTTTTAAAGCCGTACTCAACACTTTCTCAATGGCATGAATAGGTTCCATAACAAGAATTGCAAATTTAATACTCTCATACTCTTCACTTAGGCCTTCCAAAAACCTAATGATTTGATCCTCTTCTTTTTCCTTTTGGATTTTGCTTACTAGGGAGCAGGTACACTTAGGAACACATTCACAAGCAGGAATTGGCCTCATAGCATTCATTTGCATCCATAAACCATTGTTTTTAGTAAAATACTCATTGATTGAGAGATTACCTTGTGAGCATCGGTAGATCTCATTTTGCAGTTCAGCAATCCTATGTGAATCTATCTGAGAATATCTCATCTTCAGAGTGTTCCACACATCTGATGCAGTCTCAAGGTACAAGACTCCTTCTGCAATCGTGGAGCTAAGAGGCTTGAGGATCCACGAGCAAACAATGTTGTTGCATCTCCTCCAAACAGAGAATCTCCGATCAGATTCCTCAGGCCTAGTGATGGATCCATCAACAAATCCATATTTCTTTTTCACCCCGAGAGCAATTTTCATTGATCGATTCCATGACGCATAGTATACTTCGGACAGAGGCGGAGATACGAGATTCCAATTAGGATTCTCCCTGATATGGAGATACCAAGGATCGTCGAATTCCTGTGCATGATCGACGTTCATCAGAATCTGACTCGAAGAAGCTCCGGCACCAGCTTATTCTGTCGAGTCTCCGTCGTTGTTGTTCTGACTTTCTGACATCACCACCGCTGCATAGCTGCAGTGCTCTGATACCATGATGAATTATCTCAGGTCATGCATGAGAATCAACCATATTGTTGAGCAAATTATACTAGAGTCTAAGCAGAGAAGAAAGGGAATTTATTAACATTTAAAAGGGAAGCTCAACATGAGCTTATATACAAAGATAAGAAAGAAGCAGTTCTAACTGCCAAAAGTGTCTACTGTCAAAGGCGAAGGCGTCTACCAAAGACGTCTACCAATCACGTCTACCAAAGGCGTCTACCAAAGACGTCTACCAAACGCGTCTTCTTATCTCCATTCTGTTGTTGCACTGCACCATTGCACTATATACTTCATCAGTATATAAGCAGATGATCTTTGCTGTTCTCTGCTGTAACAAATTAGATTCTTTTTCCTTCCTCTTCATTCAGTTGCTACTCTTCCTGTCATGAATAATACTTTACCTTTCCACCATTGTCCTTGTATGTGAGGCTATCTCATCAACATTTTCCCTTGGACATTAATATCTCATGCTCACTCCTCGTTAAAAAGCACATTAGAAAACCCCAGTGGGAAAAAAAATCTAGTTAGGGAAAAGATAACATGAAATATGTGTGTTAAATTGTTAATGAGCTGTCTCGTTAAAAATCTTTAATTAAAAAAATAATATGAAAGCTCAATCAAATGAAAAACATTATATCGGGTTTGTCTTCAAGACCCATTCTTCAGGATTGATCTAAACAAAAGTCCTTCCCACTGGATATGAAGATAAATCTTCAAACCAACATGCTTTAGTCTACATACCACGGAAACGAGGCAGTAACATAGTTTGATGCCTTTGATGTAAGTCATCAATCTAAACTCACAAGAAGAAGAAGAAGAAACGACCATCATATCATTCCCCGGTTATAATGCGTTCTTAGAGTAAAGGGCATTGATAGCTACCTTGGAGTTTTTTAAAAGCCATTTGAGGGTTAAGCTTGATTGACCTTTGATGCCGTGGTCGAGCAACTTCTTCAGTTCAAAGAATTTTTTTAGCACACTCAACATCGATTCAGATTATCCTATCACGATCTTTTCTGCTTGATCGTCCGTCCTTTAATTATTACAAGTATGTTGTTTGTTTTTTCAACTCATTTTTTGATTTCATTTATTTCTCATTATAGATTCAATTTTGCACTGATATAACACGTTTGATGCACATATTGAATTTTAGAGGAAAAATAATCATATTTCATAGGCAAAGGAATATGACATAATATATCTTTTCTGTGATTTTGGGTTAATAAGAAAGTATCTAATTAAAAAAAAAATGGCACATTATTGGGTGACAGAGAACGATAATTGTTGAGTTCTCTAGCTTTCTAAAAATTAATAGAACGGGACTAAATTTATAAATTTAAAAGTATCGATAGATAAATAGTATAATTGTAGTTTTATTTTTTTTCTTCTAAATACATACATTTATGTTTTACTCACCACCTACCCACCCTCAAAAACATCATCATTTTATTAATAGATTTCCCTTTATATTTATTACATTTATTACTTAAACAATTATTTGACATGATCTCTCATGGATAATTTTAATGCAATTAAGAATCCATGGTTATGTGATCTCACTCAGATTTTGAAGTATTGAATTCAGATTGACTATATTTTTTAAAAAAATTGAATTAAAAAAAAAAAAAAAAAAAAAAAAAAAAAAAAAGCTAAACCTAAAATGATTTGGCATTTGCAAGTTTGCATAAATAGTAATCTTGCAAATTTCTTTTCAATGGCTCTGTTACTTTATTTTTAAAAAAAATCATAAATGTCTAATGTGACAGCAACTTCAATTTTGTTGTTGTTTTTCATTTTAATTTATTTTATTTTTTTATAAATAATATATAACAAGAAAGAAGATCCACGTAGATGTGAATGTAGATTGGAATTATATGAATGGAAGAAATAGTAAATTGGAAATGTAGTCATTTAATTGCTTTTTTTTTTTTTTTTTGGTGGTGCCATTTAAGGTGTTTCAATGAAGTTGTATTTATTTATTTTTTAAATTATTATTTAAAAGTTCAAATTCACTATTTGGCCACAATCATGGGTTAATTTGACCCTTATCTCTTGAATATTGTAATTTCTGTTTTCGTGTTAAATATTGCGACTAGATAATATTTCAGTATGATTTTGCTTGAGTGACTGACTTATCACTGTCTTAGACTAGTTAATAGATCAGTGAAAGAACTTGGTGCAAAAATTAAACCAAACAAAAGTAAAACACACAAAATATTGTTTGTAATCATAACCTTCACATTCATAACAATGGATCGCTCGACACGTCAAAATATTCCAGAACACATCGGGGAATTTGAAGACTCGAGCTCGACGCGTCGAGTCCGACAGGTTTGCTAGGCTGATTCGTAAGCCCAAGACGCAGTTTCGGCCCATTTTCGCACACAATTCTCCTTTTTCCTCCAGGATTGGTTCCAGCTATAAAATCCTACCTTCTCCAACCCTAATATTCAAGCAGAGCTCTTTGGAGACAAGAAAGAGAGAAATCAAGAGCAACAAGTTGTCTTGGGAAGCAAGAAGAAAGCTAGGGAGATTTGGGAAAATCACCTTGTTCATTCTTGTACTCTTTTAGATAATTTTAATTTCTTTATTGTACTTTTCTATGTATAATTAGCCACGCTTGGCTAAATTCTATTAGAGATTCTTGAGTAAAAGTGTTTATGAACCTATGTTCCTGTGTTCTCAGATTCTTTAATATATTATTATTTGGGTTTTAAACTTGTGTTGCAAATGAGTTTATTATTATTGTTGTTGCTAGTAGTTTAGGGCCCGGATTACTTGTTTTGTTGCTTTGTTTATGTCATAACGGGAGTTAGGCATAATTGAGAGTACACACAATTGCACTTGACTTTTGCACCTTGGGAGAGGGCATAAGTGTTAGGGAGTTTAATTCTTGATTATTGCACATCGGGAGATGATAATAGTTTGGAATTAATTAAGAAGGTTTGTTCTTATTATTATTGGGTGTTTATATCACCGGAGTGAATATTCACTAGGGTTAGATATTACGGGAGTAACTTTATACCATCTTTGCATTCTCACACTAGTTTAACCCCATATTTAATAGCACTTAAGATAAGCACGAGGGGATTAAACACTTGAATCCCACGAATCTCAATCTCTCTCTATTATTTTCAAAACCCCGATATTTTTCTTTGCTTTATTTTTTTATTGCAAACTGTCCATCATAATCATTAGGATTAGCTTCATAAGAATTGGTTAGTAGCTAGTGCTTAATCCCCCAATTCCCTGTGGATCGATTACCCGATATTTCTGGTATTATTTGTTTGAAAATATACTACAATTCAATTAACAAACTCGATCTTCTTTTTCTCTTAATATGATTTTTCTTTTGTTTAGTTATTAAAGATCTTTCTTTGGGATGTCGATTTTGCCCCTAAAATATAAAATTCGGCAACATACATTGCACCGTCAGTTTGGCCGAAAGGACTAAAACTAATAAAAATAATAAGGTTAGGCATCAAAATTGGAAAAACTTAAAATTGTGCACCAAAAGTGATAAGACCTTAAAAGCCATGGGACCAAAAGTGAAATTAGTTCAATAGTTAATACGAGTGTTTGATTAATCAATTTTTTGTAATAGCTTATTGCTCCAAAATGCTAAAATTCAAAGCTTTTTCGATCAACATTTTGAGAAAAATAAATTATATCTTTAAACGTCATTTTACATGTAATCAGCTATCAACTAATCGCTAATTTACCAAACATCTTTCTACAACAAGCTAATTTATAAAATGTAATCAGATGGTTCATATTGCTTAATCAGAAGGAAATAACTAAATGATGTTTAGTGTATTAAAAATGAATATTAATGATGCATGAGGTTCTCAGTCTAACAATCTAGCATAGATAGATTTGAATAAGCAATCAACCACTATATCTCAACCCACAAACTGATGCATGAATATGCTATCCTTCGTCAATCTGAAAAGACTTTAAACTAAGCCAGTAATCTCACATTATACAGCGTCTGTGGCATACAAAATATGGCCTTTATAGCTGCATGATTGGTAATATATTTGGCAGTTTATGGACCTGCAATAATGTAATTAAATGCTAAGACTTTCAGGAAACTATTTCCATATTTATAAGTTCTCTGGGTTCAAGAAAGACCAACCAAGGGTATCGTACAGGGGAACTGAAACATTTGAGGGTTAAACTTGGCCTTTGGTGCCCAAACAACCTCTTAAGTTCAAAGAATTTCTTAGTACACTCAACAGGGAGTCAGATTCTCCTACCATGATCTCTTCCACTTGACCACTTGATCGCCTACCGGCGAAGATCCTCGATTGCCGCATGGGTTTTCTACTCATTTTTTGTTTTTGTTGTTCCTCACTACTAACTCAGATTCGTGAGAGATGTTTCTTTCATAAATTTTGTAAAACTAGAATTTTTCTTAATTTTTTTTAAACATATACATTTATGTTCTACCCGCCACCTACCACCTTGAAAAACATCATTATTTAATTAATGGAATTTCTAAATTTGCAATTTATTTGAATTCATGTCATTTAATATTTATCCACCAAAAAAAAAAATGTCATTTAATATTTAACCTTTATTAGAGATAATCTTATATATGAACAATTTAAATTCAATTAAGAATCTATGGGCCACATGAGCTCAGTTCAAATTTACTAAATTTGCTTGAAAGTATTGTCATAATATAATACCTCTAGTATTGTCCACATATATTTATTCACAACACTCTCCTTTGGACATTACTATCTCATGCTCACCCCTCATTAAAAAGCACACTAGAAAACCTCGGAGGGGAAAATTTAGTTGGGGAAAGGAGAACATGAAATATGTGTGTTAAAATTGTTAATGAGTTTTCTCGTTAAAAATCTTTAATT